TGTCACTGCAGTTTACTTCCCCAACTAGAAGGCCTGACTGAGCCTTGCTGGCAAAAGCATGTTTTTTCTGCTATAAGCTGCAACCACACTAAGAGCACTTTGCTAGTATAGCTAATAAAAGTATAGCTAAGCCAATAAAAGTTCTCCCACAGTGCGGAACCCAGCCTTACTACCTGCAAAATGTCAAAAACAATGGGCTCTAATCTCAGTTGGGGGTCTTTAGGTGCTACTAGTATTTGTTTCAGCCATTTGTCTTTTCCCAGTGACTACACAGTAGTAAAGAGAGCAGGTGGAGGCTTCTGTAACAATGCAAAGATAGGCTCATTTTCATTTAAATACTGCAGTAGTGTACAGCAAGTCTCAACAACAAAGTTAATTAGGATAACTGCTCAATTTCAGAATCACTGATACAATAAAGATGGCTACTAATAGAGGATAGGGTAGACCAGGGGTGGGCAAAATCTGGCCCACTAGGCCAATCTACCTGGCCTGTGGGGCCCCTAAAAAAAATTAGAAAATTAGTATTTATCTGCCCAAGGCAGGATCCAGGGGAAGCCCCAGCAGGCTCCTGCAACAGCAGGGCCCGCCAGGCCCTGTCCCCCCAGTCAGAAGCCCCTGGCCTGGAACCATGGGGTTGCTTGTGGCTGTGCCAGCATGGGAAATTCAAGAAGGGGGGTGGGAGGGAGGCAGGGGAAGACTGCAGGAATTGCTTTAGTCCTTGGGGCTGGGCCAGCTCCTACCAAGTTCTACGGTCTGGCTATGCAGCCAAGGGCAGGTGGGAAAGCAGTGGCAGGGGCAGAGAGTGGAAGTAAGCAGAAGCACAGGGCCTGTGCCAGTGTCCCAGGGCCAGCGCAGGTAGGGCCCAGAGTGGGCCAGTAGGAGTGTGGGCTGGCAGGGGTCCATGGAGCTGGGCTGGGCTGCATCAGCAGGGAGAGGGGGTCGCTGGTCCAGCTCCACAGGGCCCCTGCCAGCCAGGACCCCGTGCTCCTGCCGACCTACTCTGGGCCACGTTGGTGCTGGCCCCAGGACACCGGCATAGGTCCCGCGCTCCCACCCAGCTGCTGTTGGCTCCCATTCACTCCCAATGCTCCCACTCCAGCCCCGTGGTACAGGTGGGGAGCAGCGTGCAGCCCCAACCTTATGCTCGCTGGCAGGGAACAAGCTGGTGCTCAGTGCAGGGGTAAAGCGTGCCCTTCCCCCTCCTTGTGGCCGGCACTTCCTGCTGCAGCCACTTGCAGCCCACGTGGGGCTGTCCTGCCTCTCTCTAGGGCAGTGGTGGCAATGGAGAGCAGGCACAGGCAGCCCCGCACGGGCTTGGGGGGG